AATTACTAAGGTGCCTTAATAAATGAGTAACTCAGTTTCTCGAGTCCAGTCTTAAAGGGCTGGGCTGAAAACCACAATTTGTGGCCAAAGCTCCTTAAAGTGGAGTTTGCATTTTTTTTTCACCCTGAACCAGAAATTCCTCAAGTCTTCCTTACATCCAGCCATCATCACGGTATCATCAGCATATCTGAGGTTACTACCCATGACGATTAATCGCCATTGGCAACCACTTTCTCCATGATATTTTAATTGCCTTTTTAAAGGCAGCCGAGATGGGTGAATCTCACCTCAGCTTGTGGAATAGATTTCTCTCCTTAAGTTTTTGCTGTGATCAGTTCATTTAGCCGAGGAATGAAAAAAGAAAAAAAAAGGATGAAACCAAAGCTGAATGAGTTTGCCTTTCTGGTTCAATGTTTATGCATCAGCTGAATACAAAAATGTATTATTTTATTATGAATGAAAAAAGTATAGTTCAATGGGGAATTCTGGGAGGTGAAGTCCACAGTTTGAAAAACACTGGTATAGTTAAATATATTAAATATTATAATAGTATAGTTAAATATATTAATTATAGTTAAATATATTCTGTAATTCATCCAGAGAGCATTTGAGCTTTGCAGAAGGAGAGGGAGGGAGGGAGGGAGGGAGGTAAATCCCTCCATTTCCATTCCACTACAGTCCCCTTCTTTGGTCTAAAACTGTCCCAAACATTGCAATTGCATCTTCATAGGGTGGTTGGTTCAGTCCAGTTACTTTACATTTTTGTTAACATTTTCTGCACTTTTCGCCAGCTCCTTTTAAAGTTGCCATAACCAGGACAATGCACAATATCACAGGTGGATTATTGCTTCTTGCTAGAAAGAAAGAATGAGAAATTTGTACACTATACACTCTTGGAGAAGTGTGCCAGTGTTTCTTGTCCTTTGTGATGGTGAAATAAACTACAGGTAGTCCTTAACTTATGACCACAATAAGGTCCATAAAATTTGTTGTTAAGTGGTGCAGCCATTAAACGAGGCATCACATGACTGCACCAATTTCATTATATTTTTTGTGACAATCGTTAAGCAAATCATACAGTCATTAAGTGAATCACATGGTTCCCCATTGATTTTGCTTGTCAGAAGCTGGCTGGGAAAGTCACAAATGGTGATCATGGGACCTCAGGATAAATACATGCTGGTTGCCAAGAGCCAGAATTTTGATCACATGACCGTAGGGACACTGCAATGGTTGTAAGTGCGAGGACTAGCCGTAAGTCACTTTTTTCAGTGCCATTCTAACTTCAAACAGTCACTAAGCGAATGGTTGTAAGTTGAGGACTACCTGAACGCCTATTGAATTTCTTCCTCTAAAGCAGGGATTTAAAGGCAAAAAATATAGAACATCTCTCTCATGGACAAATGCTCTGATGGAGAAAATTGCATCTCTTTAACTTCTCCTAATTTAAGACCCAGAAACCACAATGGTTGGAGGGGAACCTCTAGGATTATCTAAAAAAAAAAAGATAAAGGATGTTCAGGATTTGTGTGACTTGTCTTTCAGAAGTTAAAGTGATGGAAGACTACCCCTTTTCAACTTGTGCCTGTAATGCTGCAGCTAGCAAACAGGAACCATGAGGAGAGGGGGGAATCTCTGATTATCTGAGAAAAGATGGAAGCTGCAGCAAGTATTTAAAAATGCTTGGAGTTTGGTCTCCTGAGCATGGTGGGTCTTTTAGGGGTTAAAGCAATGGAGGGCATATTCCCAGAGCGGCCGTGAGGCACCTGTGAGGGGGGACGTAAATACCGTGAAGTCCCTTCCTGCTCCCCCCTTCCTCTCCCTCCCCTCCCCAACAGAGCCGGCCTTTTGAATTCCCCATCCAGGTTGGTGCCCAGCAGCAGGAACCGGTTGGGTGAGGCGGGCTGGTTTTCCTTGTTTTTGAGGGGTGGGGTGCCCGTTCTGCGCTTTGCACGTCCTCAGGGAAAGAGAAGCTGCTCTGGGTGCTTCTGTCAATGAGCAGCTCAAGGTGTACTATCTGAGGTGGCACAGATGTGCGTCTGTACAGTAGAGATACGTGGATATATGGGTGTTTCTGTATATCTGGATATGCATATGTGGGTGTATATATGTGTACACATATCTATT